GTTGCACTCTGTTTGAATTTCAAACACATACTAGGTTTCCTTAGAAAGTTCCTCACTTAGGCATCCTTAAGCAGATAGACATCATGTATTACCGTATTCAAATAAACTAAATTAGATAATTTTTTTTTTTTTTTTTTTTTTTTTTTTTTTTTTTTTTTGCAACTAGTTCTAGCTTGGTACTTGCTTGTAAGTGAATTTATTATTTAGCCAAGCAGTGTGATGCAAGTTCTGTAAATGACAAAAAAAGTTCCAGATTTAGTAGTTCTGAGATCTGAATAACAAGTGAGTTTTAAATTCACCATCAAATAATATTTGGTGGCAACAATTTCAAAAGTGATACAGCGCATTTAAGTGTTTCGACGCGAAAGCCGTTTCGAGAATAATATCTCATTGGGGGCTAACTTAATATCCCTTTTGGGCTAATAATTTTAAATTTCGCTTATTAACTATTTATTAAAACATTTATAAGCGCTAATAGGTATCATAATAACACAGAAAATATGTCAAATTTGTATTTAATTTCCGTCGGAAATCTTAAGTTTGGTACATCCAGAGCATTTTTGTTAGTGACAACTTTGTAAGTCAAATATACAGGTATGTTTAGCTAAATAATAGTAGTTTAGACTGACAGTTATTTCAAATAATTCTAATATGTTTTATTAATCACTAAATAGCTTACTTTAATTTAAATAAAAAAACTCTGAAAGGTTCAGATTTTAAATTACGGCCAAAGGGGCGGTTTTTTTAACATTTTGTCTGTTACCTTTATTTTTTAAATATCACTTCCTTCTAAATATCACTTCCTTCGCACTTAAAGCATAAAATTAAGTTCAAGAGCAATATCTCAAAATAGTTTTAAACTGAGCATATCTTTACAATTTCCGACAGATCTCGCCGCTGGAGATACAAATGTTTTTTCTGTACCGTTGCCTTTGCTCGTTTGAAATCCTGTGTTATCAAAAATTCGTTCAAGTTTTACAAATTGAAATCGTAATATTCCAAGTTGTGACTTCCACATGCCCATATTCGCATTAGGATACATCATCAAATTCGATGGCCTATGTACCGTGTTTTATCACAATGCGAAAAATACATACATTTTGCAGATTTTCATTGTTTTTTTTAATTGCTTTATATAATGCGACTCAACATTTGTGAAACATTTAAAGTGAACGACATTACTGACCAACGCAAATCGCAAACGAAACAATATCCTTCAGTACAAAGCAATTTGACTAACAATATGAAAACTTTTTAGTGAGACAAATGTGGCATAATATATGATATGTATGCTAAATATTGATCATATATCTGTAATGCAGTCTCAGATCTTAGATTTGTAATATGTCCTATGCTTGTTACCCTTTGCGGCACATTGTGTCCGATCTGGACCACCTAAATTTCTTCTGTACGCACAGAAAAATTGAATGAAAAGGATTATAGGCACTCTGAACCATCTTTATTTATAGCAGACGGCAGCGAAACCCAAACCATCCATATTTTAGCCATGTTTGTTTTTAAGACCTTCATTTCTTCAAGAAATCTTCCGATTATGTATAAAGGATCGTTTGAAAGAAATTTCTAGGTATTTTTGGCGTAGCTAATCTCCCTTATTCATATTAGTTTTAATTTTTACCTTGACATCTTGCCTAAAATCAAACGCAACCCAGGTGTTCACAGACGATATCAGACGACTGAGATCTGATTCTTGTTTCCGCTCTCCGGCAGTTCATTGACACAGCTCGTTTCAGCACTCTTTGAAGCTCTGTTCATCAGTGTGCCCCTTTGGCACTCCCACAGAATTAAACGATAAGATGGCCTATCTTCACAATTTTAGTTTGTGTACTCCTCTAGGCCTAATTAGACTGCCTAGCTTTTTCTTTTAAATCAAAACTCTAACTTTAAAAGGTAGCGTGCCGGAAAGGGTTAAGTCCTAAACTTACAACTAGTAATCTCTGTCTGAACACAGGACCATCAGTGATCTCATTTAGTCGGTGATTAACACAAGACTGTGTAGCCTGTGAGAACTTATGCATCTCTGTTAATAGCCTTGTGAATTTCTTATTCATCATATGTTTGCAGCAATCTGTTTTGCCGGCCTTCCTGCGGAGGTGGAGCAGCAGTATTAGATGGAGGACAATAATGCTGCGAAGCAACTTTTATACCCATATGAGTCACCAGTCCTCTTCTGCAGCGTAAAAAGTGAGACAAATCTTGAGACTAAATGATAACAATTTAGTCTCTTTCCTAATTTTTTTAATCTTTTCCGACACATAAATTAAAATGTGTTTGTTTGTATGTAAATAATTATGAATTTCATTATTTCTTACTGCAGCTTGACACTTGATGGCGCTTCGATTCTGATAAAGTTTACAGCTTTGGGGAAAAAATATTAGAAATTACCTTCATCACGGATTTTAGATGCTCATTGGTCAATTGGGGTCCTTTCATATTAATTTTTAGCTGTGAAAGAAAGCTGTTCACATGAAAAATATGTATTTCAAAATAAAGCGATTATTTTTATTGCAAAAATTCGTAACTGAGCATAGTTATCTTCTGAAAAATACGAATAAAAGTTATTTAAATTTAGTATATATTCAAATCTTTTAATAAAATTTATACCCCACTCTCAATTAGTTAGCTCAATTTGTAGAGTTTCTTGCGCGTTATTCACTTTTAAGTTCACTTTTAATGATAATGGAAATAGTGTAAAATAGGATTTCAAGTAGTTAAAATCTTGAAATTTTTACGACACCATGTTTGCAACAAGTGCATAATTGAAATGCATTCTCGGGACGCATTGAATTGTTCCGGAGGCTGCATGCGTTCTGCGGGTTTCCAGTTTAAGACCACTGTTTTATGTAACTATCGACATCAAATGAAAAGCATAATTATTTGCTGAACATATTCTGTCCTAAGTGGAAGTGTAACTTTTGTTTGTTATTTCTTTTGTTTATATAAGAGCAATCGTTATCAAATATGATCAATCGATATAATTTTTATGTCGAATGGTTTCGAAAATTCTATTATCAGTAACAGTGTTACAGTATATAATTTGCTTTTCTAACCTTTTTATTTTTTTATGCATCTATTTTCTATCTATATTTGTCTATCTTTTTAAAATTAATTAATTAAAAAATTTTTAATGCGACAGCGAAGAGGTGCTACTTTGGTAGACGTTGCCGATTTTGGCGTTTTTTCTTTTGGCGAGTAACGACTTTGGTAACCCATTGCTGGTAAGTATTTATGGAACCCTATTTTGTTGCATTTATTTAAAATAATCGTTTTATTATCTATTTTGTGTTTTAATATATTTTAAGGTTTTAACTTAAAAATCAATTTATTTCCCATTTTTATTGAATAAAATTTTTGTTTTATGATATTTATGAAATTTTATGTTATGATATGTATCATGACTCACTTTACTTTAAAAAGAATTGTTTTAATATCTATCATTATGTTTAAACATTATTTATGGTTTTAATATTAAATCAATTTAATTTCATTTCTTTTTTAAATATTTTTTATTATGGGTATAAATACTTGTGCATTACGAGCTGTATCAGCTCACATCTTCAATTCCTTCCAATATCTCCTTCAGATAATGTTGTTTTTATAAGAACCAGATTATTGTATAGGATCAAAAATTGTCCTTGAGACCTTATTTTGGTCACATGGCTTTCCTATCAAAGATTATTTATTTCTTACAGGGTCAAAGAATTTATTTTAAATTTCGAGACACCTCGAATTGTCTTCATGATCAAAATTGAAGATCGTTGAGAGCCATTGTGACACGGCGTATATGGTATTGTGGTTGGAAGAATATCGCTTTGTAAAAAATTGTAACTTAAGAATATAATAATTCCCCTTTTTTTACGACAATAAACTAATTTCTGTCATTATACTCTATGTACACGCGTCTTATTACTTATTTAAAGTTTAATTTAAGTAATTTTTTTTTTTTTCTTTTCCTTTTTTTTATTCTTTTCAATGTGCTAATTTTTAATCCCTTAACCGTTGGCGCAATGTTTTTCTACGTATCTTTATTCTATTTCTGTGCTATTGAAAATCATTTACCTTTCTTAGTATTTATACTCGTAGTAATGTTTTTTACATTGTTTTCATCTTAGACACACGTTTTCAACAAAAAAAAATTAACCTTTTTTAACGAATTATTTTTTAAAGTTTCGAATCTTACTATCGGCAATAGCGTAAAACGGCGTCTTTCAGATGCTGACGATTGTAAAACCCGCCAACAATGCGCCAAAGTAAATTGCCAAAAATCCGTGCAACCGTCTACCAAAGTAGGCACCCGAAGGAGTATGTCTGTGCAGTTTTTAAAATTGCCGAGAGCTTACTTTTGCATGTAATAGAAAATGAATGTAACTGAACGTTTGCGTTTTCAGTATTATTTCTTTCATCTTGATGTACACTTTTGGGATTAAAGAAAACATTTTATAAACATGATAATACGGCTACTTTAATAATAATTTTTCCAATGTAAGTTTTTGATACCCCGTTCAGCGACTTGGATCCTTTTTCTTCTGTATTAAAATGTAAAATGTGGATTGATTTCTAACGGTCACTGTAATCATGTTTATATACGAAAGGCAGATTGATCCACAGATGACTCACTTTTAACGGCAAATTTCCAATAAGCATGTGCTTTATTATGCCATTCAATGACAAAAACGAATTTTAGGGATTATATTCTTCGAAACTGTCATTTCAGTATCTACCTCAGATATAAATGGCCAGAAGACTACTAACCTGGATATGTTGACTAATGGATTTAGAGGATGAGTAGATATCAAAACAAAAAAGAATCTTTATTTATTTTTGATTCCGTTTTATTTTATCACTCAATAAGCCAATCAGCAATACAATTTTGTTTCTTAAAATATTTGTGTAAGAGGTATGAAAAAAATTGGTACAATATGACCCTATGTTTTAATATTCGCATTGCCATGAAAATGCAGTTTAATGAAAAAACGATTAAATATGACAAAAATACATTTTTATTCAATGAAATATACACAAAGCGTACTGTACAGAATTTGAAATCAAAGTAAAGTAGTTACAATTCTTCAGGCTTATGTTATTAGGGCATTCCTATTAAAAATGCTCTTTTTTCCAAAAATATAATGACGTTATCTCCACAAAAGTGACAACGAAGAAAACTATAAAATGTAAAATGATGCTTAAAATCTGTTTTACGGTGTCTAAGGTGATAATGAATATGGAAAACTTTTACCTTTTCCAGGAAAATAAACAGAATGTCTTTTTTTTTTTTTTTCATCTATCGTTTTCCATTTTTGTCTTCCAGTAGTTCTGATCTTCTTTTCTTCACATTTCGAATAATAAGTTCCAGATCTTTTCTTTCAACAGAAGATTTTCTTTTAGGCCTTCCAGCGTAATCGATAACAATAATCTTACGACTTTTCTTCGATCCATCTTCTTCATCTTCTATTTCAGTTTCTCCACTTAAAATGATTGGTGCGGAATTATGAAGGCGACGGGGCCGTTTCTTATTTGGCCGATGAGAACGCCTTATCCCAATATTTGAAATCATTTCAGATTTTTCATTAGGTACCTCACTTTTGTCCCTGTAATTCACAACTTCTTCTGAACTAGTTTGACCCTCATCATGTGTGTCTGTGGTACTAATTGTCTTAAATTGTATTGGTGAAGCACTGGTTGCTATTCTGTATTTAGTTTTTTCTTTTACATCGTAGTAACGTACACTTTGGATTGGACTTCTGGTAGTATGATAGTCTTGATAAGTTGGTTGCTGTGTATATGTGGGTAGATTATGAGAAGGCTTATATGTTCGTTGTTCAGTGTTTCGATGAATGACATACTGTTCTTCAGGTGTTTCAGATGCTATTTTGTAAGACATTTTAGGAGATGGTTTGAGCCTATGATTTCTGTTTGAATGATTGTTTGTGTTTATTTTGTGATATCTTCTAAGCGGCCTAAGTTGAGAAGTTTCAGTTTTACTACTATTAAAACGTTTTTCTTCAACATTTGAATTAAGATTTCTTGTGTTTGTAGGGTCTTCATTAAAATCTGGCAGTTGAAAATTCGAATAGAGTGAAGGCTGGTCAGATTCAAGCTCCTTACTTTTGGATTTCAGATTTGATAAACTACTCTGATAATCTTTTTCAATTACACCTGTGTTCTTTATGTGAGAATACCTCTTTTCTGGAGGATTTCTAACACTCAAATTGTCTCCCCTTTCAAAGATATTCTTTGAAGAATATTTGTTGGCTTTTATTACTTTTAATAGCTGAGCTAAATCTACAACTGCTTTTCCTTTCGCATTTCTTTGAATCATTTCAAGTTTATTTATTAAAGAATCTATTTTAGAGTGATTTAAATGTTTCTTCTGTGAAGCATTTTGATGTTGCAATCCTTCGTGCCCGTCGAATTCGTTTTTGTTCTGCTCCAGGTCTTGCTCAAAAGATCCGTATTTAGCTTGCATTGATTCATCCGGTTGGAAATTTTCGTAATTATATCTATCTTTATTTAATTTCATTTCTTGGAAGTTAGGATGGATTAGGCTATATGAATTGAATTCCTGCTTTTTATTCTTATTTGTATCTCCATAATCAGACTGTGGCGAAATTTTCCAGTCTTTATATTTTGCTAAAGGAATGCTTTGTTGTGAATCGTAACTAGAAGGAAAAACTGCTGGCTTAGTTATTTGTCCAATATTTTCTTCCCCATGAGATAATTTCCATTTGCCTTGCTCAGCCAGTAAGGATTTCCAAGCTGCTATGGCATCTTCTTTAGTATTAGCATGTTCTAGTGCACCTCCATATTGTTGACTGTAACCATCAGATAACTTCATCATTTCGATGCTCCCTGTTCCCCATATAGGCCTTTCTTCGAAATCTTCTGATGGATATGCTTTAATCTGTTCGACAACTGGTTCACTGGTGAAATAGTCATTGGAATAATAATCATCTGGTAGTTCAGGATATCTGTCATAATCATATGCTGGATTGAATGCCCATTCCTCAGGTGAATCATCTACAGGTTCACCATTCTCCGAAGATACAGCTTTCCACATCTTGTAATCGTCTTCTAAAGTCCAAACTTTTGGAGTGTTTTGTTTAAAATCCTGAAATATTTTGAATTTAAGAATGTAAATAAAATATAGCATTTCTTAATATAAATGAAATAGGTTTAATTAAAAATTTTTGTATTTCCGATGTAAAAAACTGTGGCTAGAAAAATACAATCTTCATCTTGCTAAAAATGTCACTAGAATTTCATAGGAATTTTTTCACCCAAAATTAATTGAAGCGATAAAAATATTTCCAGTTTTTGTATCAATTTTTTATTCTTTCACTCGCTTAAGTAAACCCAAATGAATGAATAGTTAATGATCATTTTTTATTGCCTCACATAAATAGTTCACTGTGTTTTATTTATTTTGGGGTTTTAAAAGAGAGAAAGTACTGTAAGTTTTGTTTATTTTACTCGGAAATATGTTCGTGAAACAGAGCATTTTAGAAAATATTAAAGGGAGATAAAGCAGAGAAATATAAACTTCCCGCCACTAGTTAAATCTTAGAAAGTTTTAATTTTCGCCGTAAGTGACGAATTTCAAGCTGAAAAATAAAAGTACCAAAATATGTATTGAAAATAACTAAAATTATATACTGAACAAAATATGTTTTATAAACTTATTTTTACGATGCTAACATGCAATACTTAATCTAAAAGTAGTTAAAATAATGATTATACTATCGATCGCGAAACACAAGAACTATGAGCATTTTTTAAATAAATAAGTTCATTTTATGCCTGCTAACAGATACAGTGAAGCTTACATGTGGATTGCAATAACATTGAAACCAAATCGATTTACTTGTATTTAGTTAAACGTTTCATATTTGAATATTTTAACTGTGCCATTAAATATAGCTTGTTTTGGCACTGTTGGACACATACACTAATCGATTTGAAAGAAATGTATTCCAAAAGGGACGGATCTTTTTCCTTTACTAATCATTTGTCCGACTAAGGAAAGCTTTACGAATTTTTTAAAAGCTTTACAAATTTTTTAAAAGTTTACGAATTTTTTAAATTTTACGGTATTTTTTCAAAATAAAAAATTTAAAGCTAATGGGTATGTATGCCTTTAGGCTTAATACAAGCAATGAACATAAGCTATTCAGTTTGAGCGCCAGTTAATTTCCAGTTTATTTCTATATTCTACTATTCTACTGAGTGGCAAAGTACAGGGCGATTTTTGTCGGTTACGAAAAGTTGTGAAGCATCCTTTTTCTTAATTTTTCAAATGTATCTATATTAAATATATACACACACACTGGACTTTCGTATATATACATATACACCGGACTTTTGCATATACAATATATATACACTGCTCGCCACCGTAAATGCAACATCCTGAAGGAAACACGCAAATAACATGAAATTTACAACATGCATTAGCGGAGGTGAAATGTGCAAATGATTAGAATTTCAGCGCAGACGCCTGTGGCGCCACTTCAAAGCGCTATTTAAGGCTAGGAGTTTTCGACGATTTCAAGTTTGGCAATTGTGTTTTTCTTGTTTTTTTCCAAAACAAAAACCGATCATTTATGCCTCGCAATAAACAGCGATCATCGTTTGATCAAGTATCCGAGTTCGACAGTCGTGTTGGACGAAACAAAACAACTGTAATGCGGATATGTGACCGCTGTAGGCAGGAGGGTACGACGGACCGACGTGTTCGATCGCATCCACCTCAGTGCACATTTCACGTGATGACAGGAGCATTATGCGCATGGCAGTGACGGATCGCTCAGTCACACCACAAACTATAGCACAGCACATTCAGTCTGTAACACATCATCCAGTGTCTGCGCGAACCATTCGACGCCGTTTGCAGCAGAGTGGTCTGTTCGCAAGACGTCCATTGCTTCGTCTACCCTTGATGCAGAACCACAGACGTCTCCGCCGCCAATGGTGCGATGAAAGAAGGATGTGGACGGCAGAATGGAATAAAATTGGCTTTACTGACGAGTCACGCTTCTGTCTGTAACACCACGATGGTCGGATTCGAGTCTGGAGACTCCGTGGAGAGAGGATGCTGAACAGCTGCGTTATGCACCGTCACATTAATCCTGCACCGGGTATTATGGTATGGGGCAGTATTGGATATCACTTCTCGCACTCCTCTGATACGTATTGCCACACCAGATCAACTCTGGCAGCGCGTGGAAGCTGCTTGGTCTGCTGTACCCCAAGAACACATTCAAAGTCTCTTTGAATCAATGCCGAGGCGTGTGGCAGGTGATCTCTAACAATGGCGGCTACTCTGGCTACTGATTCTGGAAGGAACTACACTTCACAGAAGTCTATAAATTTAATCATTTGATACTTGGTCAACATGTTATCTACTAAATAAATTTGTTGTGATATCTCTTGTCTTTCTTGGTGTTGCAGTTTGGGTGGCCAGCAGTGTATATGCATATATATAAGTCCTTGTATGTATCTAATGTATCTATAGCTCGTATATATATATATATATATCCTTCTTCGGCCTTTACTTTCACAACTGTTGATCGAAAACATATATTTCGAATAAAAAACCTATTTTAAATGATTCAATCCAGTTTTACGCTTTTAAAATTTAAAAACGTCAGTTTTACAAAACTACTAAACGTAACTTTCGATATGTTCCCTTAATCCGTATACTCATATATATTTATGAAAACTTTGTACTGGTTACAAAAAATAAACCATAAAATGTTTCGTTCTGGTACGAACAAAATTAACCGAGATATTTCGTTTCAAAATCTGTGATTTTGGACTTCGTTTTCTGTCTGCATTGAAGTGTTGGTTAACAAATAAAATAGATTAATTCAAAATTGACTTTTTCCTTTTTAATACCATTCAATGATATTATTCTTTAATTTATACTTTATTTATTTTTGATATGCCGAAATTATTTTCACTCAAGTAATTTATGAATCTAAAAATACGTTGTGAATATTCTCATGAAATTTTATTATTTTGGAATCATAATCTGGTAACGGAACAAAAGTCATTAAACAACAAATATTTTCATTTTTAATTAATACGAATGATATTACTAGTTCGCTATGAGCCCAAACTGAAGCCTGATAGTGTTTCCCAGAACAAGAATTCTGCATAATTCTGCGAATAAGATTTCCATTTTGAAAAAAATTGTATATTGATTAGTATTTTTCGCTAAATCATTTCTGTCATTTAGCAGGTATAATACTTACCATAGTTCCCCCCCCCCGGAGGTCGATGTAGAGAATTCTGGGAAGCTACTGGCTAGGATCTGTACCTAGGCAGTCTCGGCCACGGGGGTATAAAATTTATGAACTTGGTGGTTCTGAAGGCCCCGAAAAAGGGCACTCATTGGCCGGCCTCGGGGTCTGGCATGTCCTGAGCGGTTGAATCCGTAGCCGGGGGGTTTTCCTCCGGTTTACTGGGTAACGGCCCTCTGCGACGGGCATGCGCATGCGACTGGCAGGAGCAATTGACGACCAGTGCTGCCTGGTGTCTTATCCAGGTAGTGCGGTGCTCCCCTGGAAGGGTAATAGTGGAGGTTGAACCTCCACGAAGTGCCTAAAGGGGGAATGGACTTGTAGTGTGATTGATTTCACGGAGCAGGGAATGCCCAAATCTTGTTGTTGTTATCATAGTTTCTTTGAAATTTAATCAAAATCTTATTTGTTCCATGTTAAATGCTTCACACTAGAAAGAAGTCTACTGTAAAAGCAAAATAATTTACTGCTATTTGGGATATGGTCATTAATTATTTAGTAATGTGGGACTTCAAAAGATTAATTTTTTCAATTATTTTGAAACCCTGGTTCTAGAGGATTAAGCCTACATTTGAAGCTTCCATTAAAACTTTTCATCTTGATTATTGCAATAACTAGTTTTGAAAAAATTCATTTTATATTGAAGAAAATCATTAATTTTCACTAGACAAAATGAATATATAAATATATAATATGAATAAAAGAATAAGATTTTAAATTTATAGTACGTATTTGTGTATTTATTTTATCTGGTGAAAGACATTGCATTAGGATGTAGATAACTTTGCTTTAAGCAAGGTTTAGACCAGTACTAAGCATTTACCATTATCTTAAAACTGTGATCCGCGGAACTTTGGGTTTCTAAGCAACTCTTTAAGGAGTTCTGCAAATCAAAATCAGATTTAAAAAAAAAAAAAAAAGAAAGAAAAAAAAAAAAAAAAAAAAGAAAGAAAAAAGAAAGAAAGAAAAAAAAAAAAAAGAAACTGAACAGCGCATGGATCGTAAAATTGTTATTACTGACCAAAATAAGATGAAGTAGCTATTTTTGTAAAAGAATAAAAAATAATGGTTTTCTTTTAATTTTCCGCATAAAATTCACGTAACTTTGATATATTTTCAATGCTGTTTTAAGGTAAATTTTTACCTTAAAACAGCATTGAAAATATATCAATTAATTAGCGATTACACCAAGTTACACTTTTAAGGATTCATCAAAAATTGCAATATTAGAAGTTTCACAAAAATTATAATTTTTGGAGTTTCACAAAAGTTACAATTTTAGGAGTTCTACTAAAATTTATTCTTTTAGAGGGTAATAATAGTTTAAGATGTTTCACAAAAATTATAGTTTTACATGTTCTACAAGAAATTATAGTTTTAAGAATTTAGAGATTAGAATTTAGAATTTTAGAGATTCCATGGAAATTGTTGTTTTAGAACTTTCACAAAAATTATGTTTTTAGGTGCTCCTCCAAAAAAGAAGTTTTAGCGGTTCCACAAAAATTTTAATTTTAGGATTCCGCAAAAGAAATATATAATTTTAAGGATTTCGATAATCCACTAAGTTTGAAGAACAGATTTAGACTTACCTGCTTGTTTTCATCATTTTCTGTAGTTTTTTGCTCTTTTTCTGGAGAAGCTGTGTCGAGTTCAGTTAATGGCGTATTCATTTTGAACCACTCATCAGCGCTTGTGATTCTCCACTTGCCATCGATGTTGTGGATTTTCCACTCTAGTTCGCCATTTTCACCTAACAAAGACCAACCATCTTCTCCACCAGAGCCAACCACTCTCCATCGCTTGGATTCGACCACAGCTTTGGCAAGAGCAGGAGGAATTCCGAATAAATCTTGTATTCTTTGATATCTTCCTTGGTTGGTGATAGGTTCTAGAACTTGAGTACCAACGTTTTGCTGATCAGCATAGTTCTGGGAAGATGTGTGGGTAATCTGAAAATAAGGCTGAACTGCAGATGGAGTATTCTGAGCAACTACTTCAGTTACAGGGTAGACTTCTTGCTGCGAGAAAGTTGTTTTTTCTTCTGAAAGTACTGGGATTTCTGTAACATATTCTTGAATATTTGAGTTATTTGATGTTGCTGTTGATGGTACATTATTGAACGTTTCTCGAATTTCAGCCATATAAGGCACACTAACTGACACATGAGGAGAATCTTCATTTGGAAGACGGAAGATTTGTTCATTAAGTTCTTTTTCTTGTTTGCCGTTTTCAGTATCATTAATTCTAGGATACTGGAATTTATTCGTATCTAATATTTCGGAGTTTAGTAATGTGGAATTGTAAAAATATGGAAATTCCTTCGGTATTGCTGGTTTTGACCATACTAAAGATGATATATTATGCAAGAATGTTTTTTCCTCAGGCAACTGAGAGAATATTGCAGTATCTGCGTGTGGTGCTGCTGAGAATGGCTCAGTCGGCGCTTTTACGCTGAGCAATGTTTCATTTCTGTAAGAAACATTAGGAACGAACGATGTCTTTCCCATATGATGATAGCTATCACTTTTAATATCCTTGAAATATTCCTAAAAATATATAAATTCAATTAAAGTTTTGAAATAAATCTCAAAATGTTATATAATCAATATTTATACAAAGAAAAATACGATAAACTGTTAAATCTTATCGAAAATGGCTTACTGGAACAAGGCTATAGTACAGTGTTAGCGAATTTCCATCTACTGACCAATTCAAGTAAAAGGAACCTTAGATAGTAAAAAACTAAAATCTGCGCCAGGATTTCGAGTTTGCGGAAACTGCTATTAGGAGATCAAATATACAAATTAGAAGTACTAGATCAACCAATCATAATTATTAGATAGGTAATTCATCTAAAATGAGATAAATATTATAAATTTATAATATACGAACTATTGCCTGCGACCGTCATTCAGTATTCCAATTAATGGAAAACAACTTCGAAAGGCAAAGAGAATGCTGGATGGAGGTGCTCATAGAAAGAGTTTCGTTAAGTATAAGAAAATTAAAATAATAGTCAGTTACATAAAAAGCTTATAATATATTTATATTTGCCTCTTAACTCTCCTTTTGTTAGATAATACTCATTTTCACTTAAAAAGAGCTTTTACATATGCGAAATAAGAAGGGACAGGATTAAGCAAAAGTTAAACAGAATGCTCGAAATTTAAGATAAACATTTCTAAACAAACCGTCAGTATTAAAACATTTTTAGCAATAACTGCTTAATATCAATCAAATCATTTAATAAAAGCAAAAACGTTCATTTGGAAAGAATTTATTTTGCTTCAGGATTAATAAAAAATATTTTTAGGCGACAATACGTAAAGCGTACGACAAAACATAGACCAAGTGCGTCATGACTTTTCCGACAATCTAAAAGAAAATTGGCGAGGAACCAGCGAAATAGAAAACATCGTTCATGATTTTGACACCGACTAAGAAAAATTTAATGTAAAAGGTAATTGAAAAGGCGATAAATCAATGCATGATCCTCATCTGTTTCAATAAATGTAACGCTTTGCTTTAAAGCTTAAATGTTGTGTCATTTATGTTTAAGTTTTACTAAAGGTAATTCTCAGCCATATAAGGCACACTAAGTGACACATGAGGAGAATCTTCATTTGGAAGACGGAAGATTTGTTCATTAAGTTCTTTTTCTTGTATGCCGTTTTCAGTATCATTAATTCTAGGATACTGGAATTTATTGGTATCTAATATTTCGGAGTTTAGTAATGTGGAATCGTAAAAATATGGAAATTCCTTGGGTATTGCTGGTTTTGACCATACTAACCACACTTCTTTCCTTTCTGCCCTTTTTCACCACGAGGTTCTCTCATTCTAGAATTTATGCAGATTTGAGTGTCAAGCAATTTTACTATAAAGTTTGGAGATTTACGGATAAAAGTGTAAGAGTTTGGCCTGCGGTCCGCTACCTTGCCGATTAAAACAGAATCTGTTCATGCCACTGATGCTGGTCCTGCTGCGAGTAATATAGTAGATTGAGTTTAGCTTCTATTTTGCGTAAGTGTATGTTTGAATTTCTGTCGCAATGTAGGTAAAGCTTCTAGTGGCTGCCTAGGTTAGATTAAAATCGTCGAATTGCTAGAAATATTTTAAAAACAGCTTGTGTTGAAACGAGTTCAGGTTGGCTGGTAATTTCATGTTTGCATATTTTAATTTAATCGCTCACAAGTGGTGACGTAGAACATATTTGAAATGTTCTAATTATGTGTCACCTCACAGAACTAAATAACGCTTTGTTATTATTGTATTGACCGAGCTAAGTTATTTAGAACTCGAAGTAGTTGTTACAAAATTGTTCTTTAAGGATAAAACAAGCACGAAAGTAGTTAGTTTTTTAACATTTTTGAAGCAAAAGGCACTTAGTTTCACAATGAAAAAGACATTTTAACTGAGGTTTGTTATCGGGTTTTAACAAAAGTTTCCCCCCACCGCAAATATCGTCTGCGCAAACAGTTCGCGTTGGCGTGTTTAATCATATTTTGTCAAACGATTTTTGGCATTTGTAAGAAAGAGGACTTGCTTTAGAAACTGTGTTATGAAATTTGTAAAAACAATATCCTTATCATTAAGTACAAGGTGTCTGAAATGGAACTATCGTGATACCAGATTAGAATTGTCATTTACTTCCAGTTCTGTTGCAAAAAGCTAGCTATAGAATGTCACAAAATCATGTGGACGGCTTTAGATACTAATGCTGTATCATATGACACTGTGAAGGTTTGGTAATGAAAGTTCAAAAGCAAGGACTGTGACATTAAAGAAGCATAGCACTCTGAGGATGTTGATGAGGCTCGTCTGCGAGAACTCGTGGAAAAAGATTTGGTATATAACCACTCGAGAGCTTGCTAAGAAGTTTGATGTTAGTGCCATGTCCATTAGTCGAAGGATAAGGATAAGGAACGGGGGACGTGGGCACTATGCCTCTACCATACGGTTAATTAGTATAGCACCACGTCCACCATGATCTAGAGAACCCTTAAGACAACACTAATTCAAATACGTGAGTACATTATTGAAAATAAATGATTGATTACAAACAATTGTGGTATACCTTGGCAGTAAAATTGTTGCATTTGTGTAAATAACAAGTTGCATTTATGTAAATAACAAGTTACGATAAAGACAAAGATGTAGTGATAGTCTGTAAAGTGCTAACGATTAGTATTCCAGTTGTTGCCATTGAAAGAGGATAATTCCTGCTGTAATGGTCACTCCAGGGTCATTTATTCTGCTGCGCAGAGGTCCGTGCCGAGACTGGCTAGCTTCTCCATAATTTTGATGAGCTGCAGAGGTGCTTCTGTTTGACCATGAGCTTACAGAATGCCTGTGTGTTTGTAGTGGGAATACATATGTGCATCCCGTTGGTCAGAGAGCAGGTAGTGATGTAATGCTCCGGAGTACCCAGGTGACCGCAGCTGCACTGGTCTGTATCAGTCGTGCCGTGCCTGGCAAAGTACTCCTGGAAGGGTCCATGGCCTGTAACATAACGGACCAGGTGCGGGTTAGAGTAGAGCTTGGCTGGATTAACATACAAAAGATGATAATGAGTACGTCTGCCGGTCTCAGCAATGTCCCACTCAGCCTTCACTTTGAGAGTGCTTGCAGATGGAGCATTCTTTTTAAGGTAGAGTGTGGCCACGGTAATGCTAGCTCCTCGGCTTCCTTATTTAGGGCAGCGTCTTTCGCAAGGAGGTCTGCTTCTTAATTTCCCATATTGCCTGCATGGGCTTTCGTCCATGTCAGGCGAGCTTCCAGATGTTTAAACTGCCGTAAGAGGCTTTGAATTTCCTGGACTATTGAGGAGAAGTGTGCCGGATTTTGCAAGGCTCGCAGAGCTGACATACAATAGGATACTATAACAGCTTTTTTGATGTTGTTGCTGGCAATATATTGTACTGCGTTCTGGATAGCAACTGCCTCCCCTTATGCTTCGCATAAATTTGACGTACAAGTTCAATCGCTAGGTGCCGCATGAGCTGACTCAAGCAGATAAAGACAGAAGTGTTCAGGCCTGCACTAATCTGCTCGAATATCAACGCAAAGACAAAATTCTGAACCGGATAATCATTTGTGACGAAATATGGATTCAACAACATAGGCCAAAAAGGGGGTTGGGCTACGCCCGGAGAACCCGTCAGCAGCGTCGCAAAGCGCAATTTGACTAACAAAAAGGTCATGCTTTGTATCTGGTAGTATTGCTATGGTATTATCCACAAAGAGTATCTGGAAAAGGTAAAACCCTCGACAGTAAGGAGCACAGCGAGATGCTAGTCTGTGTTGACGCTGCTATCAAGAAAAATGCCGAACTGTGTTCCGGCGTAAAAATTTAATGTTCCATCAATACTATAATGCAAGACCTATGGGCTTGCATTCACCGGCTGGACTCTGTACGGAGTCGAATGGGATTTTTTTGCCACACCCACCATATAGCCCCGAAATCGCTCCTTCGTACTTCTACCTTTTTTTGCATCCGCAGCTACATCTTACTGATAACTTGTACTGCTATCTTCCATTCTGCATCCGAAATGAGGTTGATCTTTTTGAACGCGCAGCCACCAAGTTTCTGGGCCGAAGGCTTTGAAAAGCTGCTGAAACTTTGGCAGAAAATCACAGATTTTGGATCGTGATTACTACTCGCACTAAAGGTACTGCTTTCATTTTTTTATAACTTTGTTAAAAATGTTTTTCGAAGAAAAACGTTCGTTACAACCAGATACTTTTATGATAAAGTATTAGAATTGCTATAAACTATACAAGCCATTTCTTGTGGAAAATATGTAATCTCCTGACTGAAAATATTTAAGAAGTAAAATAGAGCATTAATAAAGTAAGCCGGATGCTCTTTTTATGAGAAAAAAACAAACAGTATTTTAAAGTAATAGATCTTTGATTACTGGGAAAAGTGAATCAGTATTATATGCGTTTCAGAGGGTGTCTTGTCTTAATGCTAAATTAAAAACTCTTTTGTGTAATAAACTGGTCTGAAATAGTTATTTATATTTAACTTAAACACTTTAAAATCTTAAAATATTTAATACCTGAAGATACTGAGTGCATTAAATAATTCATTTTGTCTTTTATAAAACTAAACTTTAATAAAAACTAAATTTTATCTGTTATAAAAACAAAAATGTAAAACATTGTGTTAAAGATACTAATATTATTTTAATTAAACCGTTTTGCACTTACTTTAAATGTATTTGAAGTTTTTGATAATGTTTCATTCAATTTGACAGAATATTGCTGGTTAATGTTCCGAACAGGCTCCCAAAGTGGAGCTTCTGGTGTTGTTTCAACATCCTTCCTTGTTACAGACCACCAATCTCCTTCAGCTGCACTGTTCTGAGCTGACCATTTGACTTGATCTCCATGCTTTTCGTAAGTCCATCCACTTCCACCCTGTCCAACACTCCAGACAACGTAAGCATTATTACCAGGATCTACAGTCGGAGGCACTGTAGGTGGACGGATAATCGATTTCGTTGCAGTACTTGTTGGTAGATCTATAATAAAATTTCGATGACGTCTCACTATAAAACTGCAATCCAAATTGCCCGAAATTTCATTTTTATATTTTATGATATTCTAAAAACTTTAATGGCACGAAAACAAAGTAACAACTAACAATAATTTCATAGAGGTTAAATGTGTAAAGAATTATTTTATTCCTCTGTGTATGGCTTTGTTGTGCAACTGGTTAACAAATACCACTGGAATTATTTCTAATCCAGCGAGGATACAATTGAGTTTTTAATCTTCCTGAACCTAAACAATGGCACGCCACTGGTCTTTACCGTGGCACGGAATGAACGTTAACACATTCATATTTGCATTTGAACGACCGGGTCACGTACTTTTCCCCATTCGCTCTTTAAGCGAAGGAAAATGTAAGGGTTTCTCTCCTTCCTTACGTTCTCTCATGGTGCACATCTAACTGGTACTACAAGATCTGTACTTCAAAATCTGGAAAGCGTACATATGAGTTTTCGTCTTTGCTGCTAAAAAGGGTCTCTACAAACAGGCAAGCTAATAAGTTATTTCATCCCTTGAAGAAGATAATTAAACCAAAATAATGAGCAATTTAATTTATTTTAATTTTTGATATTTGTTTAAATTAAAATCGGTGATTTTAAAATTCGCAAGTGTAATTTGTGATATGTAAAGAGTTGAACATGGATTCTTTTGCTAAACATACTATAAGAAAGATCATAGGAAATGAAATTTTCATGATTTTTAAGAAGTGGTAATATTTTATTACCAGAAGTTTAAAATCTCTGCTATAACTCTGTTGTCAATATGGATTGTTGTTTCTATAAACTTGATTTCTCTGTCGCTAACTATATTAAATTATTATGTTCATGCAAAATTTGAATTAAAAAATATAGTATTCCTAGAAATAAGATCATTAAATTACAAAATTTATGAATGAGATAATATTTTGTATGCTTTATTAAATATTTTTTCAGACTCTGCTTATTCTTAACTCAAAATTAAGGAATTCTAATATAACCATAAAAATACAGTATATCTTATTCTCATTTGACATTTATGACCGAGTTAATTATGTTATAAAGTATTTAAAGCCATAATTTGAAAAAAATCAATAAAAGTTTAATATGTAACAATTTTGAAATGTTTCTTGGAAAGTAAAGTTTTATGCAGAATTATTAAAAACGTGTTCAGAACAATGTTTCAGTACAAAATTAACGTTAAATTTACTGTTACAAATCATGAACCAAAGTTACGTTTTAGAAATTATTTAGACTTAGCATGAAAAGGTATAATTAAATAGAGTTCAAATGGAAATTAATCTGAAGTCTTTTGCATGCGAAAATAAAAAATTTAGCCTGCTAATGAAAATATTTCAAGTTCTAACTGGGAAAATTTCCATCGTTCCTCTGAAAAATAAGGTTATATGCATTATTTAAATGCAAAAAGTTCAGTAAGTGAGAAAAGAAATTATAGAAGCCATTTAAAAATCGCAGTATGATCTGCAGTTTCAATGCTTAAAACTAGACCTACATTTTTAGATAATGGTTTTCTAATATTTCAAAAGCGTACCCAAAATTCTTCTAGCTATTATAAAAATGAGCTGAATAAACTATAATTTAAATTTGAAAAGGCTTTTTTTATACCATTGGCTACATAAACATCAAATTCAGTAAAATATGAAATTTATTTGAAAAATGTCTCATGGTTTCATAGTTATTTTGTTTCATAGCTTTTAACATGGCTCAGATTGCATCGTCCAACTTTGACCTATTTTGCTTTGTTCAATTGTCTTGAAGGTCACACACTTTTTTTTTTTTTTTTTCTGAACATTGCTCTTAAAAGGATTGTGTGTGTTTTGAAAAGTTATTAACATTCCGTATTACTGAATAAAGTAAATGCAAAAAATGAAATGGCGAAAAGTAATTCTGCACTCACCTTGGACAATTTTTTCTTTATGGTATTCCACGTTTTGATGTTTGGGTGTCGACTTCATAGTTGTGGTCATAAATGGTACTTCGTTGAATTCCAGGTGGTCATTCAACGTGTCATCCTGTAATGTGGATTCAAAATTTTCGGTTGTGGTGATTTCGGTCTTCGTATTTGAAGCTGCATTGAATGTGTTTGTTATATTTAGATATGGGGTTTCTTTTACGTCTTTTAAATCTGGTATAGCAGTAACCAATCGCCCGTAATCTCTAGTGATATAGAAAGGTTCCACTGTAGTTCGAGGATAAATCTGCTTAGGCGGTCGTGAATTCTGTTTCTCAGTTTCAGACTTCACTTCAATGTTTGATGCGTTTAGCTTACTATCTACTTCAGTTGTAGAATTAGCAATAATTCTGTTAAATTTATAAGCATTTCTGTTCCTTATGTAATTCTGGGATGTCCAAGACTTTTCAGATTCCTTTATATCATAACTTTCAGTAGTAGAAACATTTGGAAATTCTGTGGGTTTTTGACTTCTTGACCACGAAACATGAGGTAAAGAGGTAGTTTTATTAGATCTTATTCTAGATCTGCTTCTTGGAAAACTAGTAGGTCTTCGTGAGAGTCTGTTAAAGTCTTTTGTTGATAGACTACTTGAAGTTGTTGTTAAATCCAGTTGTTGAGGAACAGACGTTGTTTTTGTTTCCAACTGATCGCTTTTTTTGTTCCATGACAGACGTGTTCCATTTTTTATTCTTCTTCTAGTTCCTAAACCTAAGGATCTAGGAGGAGATTTGGTAGTGGATATGTTTGAAGAGTTCCTTTCTTTTTTGGGGTAACCACTTTCTCTGTTTAAGGGAATTTCTTCGTCGTCAACTAAAAGTATTTCTGCACTTTCAGTTGAAGTAATTTTTCCAGCTGTTTTCTCGGAAACTATGGTAGAAGATGTGCTTGGTGTTTTCGTCGTTTTAGGCCTTTTTCTGAAAGAAATAGATGGTTTTGTAGGTCTCTTTCGTCCAAAAAGTTTTTTAATTCCTTCTGCTGAGTCTTTATTTGTTGTGGTGTCTTCCAGAGCAGGCGGTGTGAGTGGGGTGATGGGCAAGGCTGTTGTAACGCTTTCGGTGGTTGAAGTAGGAGCTGCTGTCGCTTTTGAAGGAAAAAGAGAATTTCTTCTTGAACCTGGTCTAAGAAGATTTGATGGCTTTCTTCGTCTAGCAGAATCAAACCAAAAGCCTGGTCTTGAGCCTGGAACAAGTGGTTTGATGGACGGCTCCTCCTTGTCATCTGGAACAAATATTAAAAAAAATTAAAGGATTGATCTTTTGGATTATTATAGCAGAAAGATTAAATAATATATCAAAATAATGCGTTGATAAATGTTAGGTACACATTGTTAATTGTTTTTAAAGTAAGATTGTTCTGAAACAAGAACATACTCATTTATTAATTTGAGAACTCTATATAAGCTGTTGATGGATATCGATTTATTGATTTTCTACTTTCATCGTTATTCGTGTTGAAAATGAGAAATTTCTTGAAATGTTCTGCTACCTTATGAAATATAGGTTAACATCTTAACCTTAGACTGAAAGCAGAATTTTGACATTCAGGAATGGATATTTCGGGAAATTGGTTAGCTCATTATAACAATAGTGGTATCATAATTCGAATATTAGAAAAACTTTAAGTGATGTAAAATGTTGTTTGGTTTATTTTTTATAGTTTTTACATATGAATTGTTTAAATTAAAAAAAAGCTTCATCAGTTCCCTTTAGTAACTTTAAATGATGAGTTAACAATCTTCTTAAAAGCTATGGAATTATATTTTACTTATACACAGCCGAGTAAAGATTAGATTTATTTGGATTACTGTAAAGAACACAAAGGCTTTCTGCGTAACGAAAGGATTGCCTTTGAGGATGAATTCTTAAGACAAACTGACTCTTATTTACGTTAGAAAGAAAAGCACAGATACAGAAACAAACGCGTAAAAGAGCTCTGGTATTTCAGCCCTAGTGAGCTTCCGCTAGTGGTTGAGTGATTTAGACCTCTGAATAATGGTAGTTTGACATTAATTGAATTATAGACAAACGGGCTGGCTACGTGATTGCTTTTCGCGATTATGAATATGAGCTAGTTTCCTTTCGCAAATCCTCCAATTAGGTATCCTTCCTCTTTAGGTAGACAAACCTTGTGTGCTTTTCTGTATTCAGATATCTTAACCTGAATCCACATGTTCGAATCACCGACGTTCAGCGATTTTACCGCTCGGCTGCTGGTGGGCCCAAGCAGGTACAGAAATTATGTTTTATCTTTGTTAGCGAAATATATTTCATAGTCCAAGTAAAAATGTACAGTTAACGTATTATCTTCATCAACTGAAGAAAAAGTAAGAGAACATTTGATTGAAAAAAATAATTATACAGCATGTGATTTCGTTATCCAGTATATGATTCTTATATTTTATCATTAAAAGTTTGTGTTTCGCAACTTGTAAGGATCTTAAGTTTTACTAATGTTTATTTTATTTTAAAACTGTACTATCACTTCTTATTTTCTACTTCCGGCCAGAATTAAATGTGTTAACCTGCTTATGCAAATTGTACTTGCTAACGCCCAATTATTTAAGTTGTGGCTTTTTGCCAAGAGGTGGAGAGAGAGGGAAAGTGAGCCACTGCATTCTGTACGAGTTTTCAATCGGTTGCTGATTGCCTTTAAGGCCAGAAGTTTAGTCCTCTTGTTATTTAAAACGTATTGCAGTTTCGACAGTTCGCGTACTACATACGTAATCTTTTAAAAAGGCCAGTCTTAGTGTTAGGCATTTGTAAACTAATTCAAAGTTAGCTCTCAATTAGAAGTTTAGTCAGTAGTTTTATATTTTTACGTTCAGACCACAAGTGGTTGGTCTCTGTATCCCGAAGTGTGGGAGCACCTGTAATCTTATAGAAAATAAAGGGTAAAATCAACCCTTACTGCTTGTGTCGTCCATTCCACACATACTTGAACATACCTTGAGTAAGCTCCCTGTTCCTATTCAGGACACAGCATATTTCCAAAGCAAGTCAAAAGACATACAAGTACTGACAAACTATATATACAAATACTGTAATTACAGGTTTTTCACATTAAATGACTTCTTCGGCTTCAAGAAGAAAGCAAAAGAAAGCTGAAAAAATTGCATTTACTTAAATGAGTTTTGAATTTTGAATTAGAATGACCTGCTTGTTTGCAAGAATAGTTTCTAAATATTTTTTCTGTTTCTGGTTATATGCATAAAAATAGCTCTGAGCATTTCATTGCTTTTCATTATGCGTGTAAAGCCATCATTTCAAAGTTATTATAAGTTATTACTAAGAAAATATAATTTTATTTCTTCGTATGATTGAAAATTTTCGACTGAAATACTAATTTACGTCTTTTATATTTTATATAAGGTTCAACTCCTCATAAATTATTTTATCATCAAATTAACCGGTTATTTGTCACACATAGAATATGCTATACGTACTTTCATCAGGAGTAACCACATCTTCTTTTGGGTCCGCTTCTTCGTATTCTAAATCTTCCTCATCAATTGGTGGTTCTTCTGATATTTCATCGGGAGTTGATCTTCGAGAGAGAGTAGATCTTTTCCAGATGACTGAGGATTTTGGAGTAGTGAGTGCTTCTACAGGTTTCTCAGTTGTTCTGATTGAATTAGATTTTGTTACTCGCCGCCAAGTTATAGAGGCTTGTGTCATTGTAGCCAGAATTAATACAAATGTTATCAAAATTTCCATAACCTATGCGGAAAGCGTATCAGTTAATAGACAGAAACTTTCATAAAAAGTATGTTTACTTAGCATTTTGTAAGAGTATAAACTTAACCAAAATAAATAGAAGAAAACATCATAGCTCACTTTAGAAGAGGTCAAAAGCAAAAAAAATTGGTAACTACAAAGAATAATCATTATTCGTTACATTCCCTTGTATTGCTAAAACACTTGAAAAAAGACGTATCCAAAAACGTATTATACAGAAAGGCGGTTTCAAGAAGATCCTATCTAAATAATTGTTATGCACAAAGCCGGTAAAAGGGGGCTCTATTCGAAATACAGAAAGACAGTTTGAACCTAGCTGAAAAACCCTGTTATTGAGAAAAGCGGCTTCAAGAAGGTTTTTTCATTAAACTTGTTATATGGCAAGGCCGTTTCAGAAACAGGAATATAAATTTATGTTCATTTGCTATAGGATTTACATAGTTGACCAAGAAGCAGCAGGTTGAGTGTTTATGATGCAAGTCTTTTTGTCCTCCACGTAGTCATTTTTTTTCGAAGGAGGTAACAAAAGAAAAAAAACTACAGAACAAAGCTCAAGGCATTCCTCAGAAGAATTTTGTTAAAATTATTACAGATGTTGTGATCGCCTGAAGGTATCATTCTCCCATGCATTACAATTATTTAATAACTTAATAATTTCATTGAAAAATTATCTAGAGTCAATGAACATGAATATTTATCCTAATATTAGAATCGTTTATTAATTGTCAAAGTTCATTGGGAATTTAAAGATTAATAAGTAAAATTATATTGTGGGTATGATTACTAAAAAAGTAAGTGCTATTATTAAAATGATATCCACAAATTTGAGCTTCAGATCCACGTGGATCTGGCTTTTTTTCCTATTAGTGGCCAGCCATTTACATTGAAAAATTCAAAGATGCCATTCATATAAGTTTTGCTATTAGACTCCCAACAGGCCATATAATACGAATGAGGTGTTTAATCTCGATTGACAACTAGGAGTTGGAATCAGAATAAAATACAGCACCATCACTTTTTCATTTTAGCATTTTTAAGTCTTTTCTGATGCGATATCAAAAGTGCAGTTTTGTATCTTGTAGCATTCCAAAATATTATATATTTCTTTTGTAACACTGGGCGAAGAATTTTACCCTCCATCTTAGAAAACCAATTTTCAGCTTGAATAGAAGATGTCAGAAGTCTGTCCAATTCTTTGCGAATTTAAAGACGTATTAAGCAAAAATATGCGGAAGACATTCTTTCAAACCAACCTTTCAAAACCAACTTTCGTATCATATGTGACTGGTAAGCTGCTGATGAAGAAATTAAAGTTCGAACCTTGATAAATAAAGTTTAAATTGCGCACGTTTGTCAGTCATAGATCAGCTATGAATATTACATTAGTCATAACTTTGATTTCTATCCATTGAGAAATAGTTTATTACGTTAGAGAGAAATAGTTTATTACGTAGTATTGGTGTTAGTCGACATTTTCTAATTGTCTTTATTATGTGTTTTAACAAGGCACTTAAAATACAAGCCAATGCATGTATAAAATATCCTTATGGTTCCCTAATAATGTGCTTATGTATGTTCCTCACTCTTTTTGGCTAATGTCGAGGAATTTAGTGAACTGTTTAGGGAGTTATCGCTAAGTTCAAATAACTAAAGACATAGACTCAAGAAGGGATAACGAGCCTTTATTTCACTCAAAATAAGATGAACAGTCGGCCCCTTTCTCTGGCTTAAAACAAAGCCTCCACTCGGACTTAAAAATAAGAGATAAGAAATAAGAACTAAACTAAAATTAACTAAGACTTAACCGAAGCTAAGCACAAGATCTAACGTAGTTAGCCTTAAATTTAAACTAGCCGGCGAATATGAAAAGGCGCGTAATATACGGCCGAGCGCATTTTAATTTAAATACAATATACAGTGAACCTTGTATCACGAACAAATCGGTTCATGAAAAAATTTTCCTAGTTAAAAATGTCTTCAATGATGAAGGTTGTCTCGAGATACGAATAAGTAAGCTGGAAAAAAAAAAAAAAAAAAAAAGATAATCCAAAATGTGATTAATGCAGTGGAGGAAATGTGTTCAGAAGGAGAAGAAAATTAGTATGTTCCTAGTTATTTGATTCGATAAATTTCTGCAAAACGAAGAAGGTACAAAGAGTCATAGGTCATTATCACCCTGATAAAATGTAATAAGCCTGAGCATAAATATTTGTAATGATAGTATCGTGTGTTACTTTTGAAACATTTTAAAACGTAGTCAAAAACAAATCACACTGAATAAAATTTTAATGGGAATAGCGATTCTCAGATAGCGGCAAATGGTTTAATGAGGGGAAAAGAAAATAATAATAAAAAAAGTACTAAAAAAGCAGTAATTATTTGATGTTTTTACGGAATAGAATTTTCCTTTCAAAAACTAATATTTTGCATCTTTGACTTCTTCGTTTTCTATTTATACCATCAACTTTCTGTTTCGTAGGGATATGGTTAAAATTTAAATCAAATTTTCATATTTTTAAATATGTTGAGTATTGTTAAATGTTAATATTATGTGTGTGTGTGTTAGATTTAATGAATTCCATCAGTTTTGCATTACGGATTGACATTTAAGTTATTCTTTTATAAACACGCATTTGAGATTCGGAACAGAATAATGTCTTTTGCATTAATTCCTGTATGAAAGATTGTTCTGGTTTCCGAATATTTCGGGTAATGAATTACCTTCAAGAACGTGTTCAGCTCATGAATCAAGGCTTCACTGCATTTTGTTAGTTTTAAACTTACTATTATTTAAGCAATTTTAACTTTTTCCACAGTTTCATGTTTCATTTCGCATTTATATTCTAAAAACAGCTGCAGAGGGATAAGCGAAACTGCACATTTACTATTTTCTTTCTAGATGTTTTTAGCCAAATTTTTGCAGTATGCCAAAATCCTTATTAGTTCGTTTTCGTAAACTGATATATACTTATAACTCTTAGGGCACGTGTAAAGAAAGAATGTTTCATTAAGCATAATGTATACCGCGCTTGATAAAATGCAGTATAAAACATTATTTATGCAGTAATATGATTTTTCAGATTTTTACCCCTTAATTATTCTGAAAATATCAGTTCTTCCAGTTATTACTTTCTTGATTTATTTTCAAATAATCTAAAAAATATGATTATACCGAAGAAGTTTTAATTATTGGTAAAATCTGTATTATAGATAAAGCACCAGTTTGTGAGAATAAATCAGACTACACACTTCTGGGAACATGTCTAGGCGATATCTAGGAGCAAAGTCAGACCAAAATAATGGTAAATACTCACGTATCCTATTTCTCTACACCAATATTAGTTCCGCTATTATTTTTATGCATTATTCAGAGTCAACAGCAAACAAAAAAGTTTCTTTCGAGTTCCAAACACAAAACGAAAAAAATTGTGACAAGAAAAGTGTCTGTATTTTATGGCATTTTTCGAGCTTTAAGCCCACCGACGGGATATTTGCAGAAATTCATATATCTCACCCAATTTTGGACAATAGTAAGTCACGCTGAGTAAGTTTGCATGGAGCTGAATCTGTTGCTTTTTGTTGTTATTCAAATTATGGTTTCCTCAAGTATTCTAGCACGAATGCATAATAGAAGAATGCTTCGATCCACAAGCTGTAAAAAGGTAAATGGGGTCAAATTTATATAAAAATACTTTTATGAGTTCCTATGTAAAGAAAAAAATATTGAAATCAATTATTTTGAAACCGTTAAAAACTTTTATTTGTAAAAATTATAAGATACTTTCTCCGTCCTTTCCGCATACCTTCGTGGTTAAACTGGAAGTACCCTCGATGTGTTTTCTCAAAGTCCGGATTTCTTCAGTTTCCTGTCATTGAAAAAATTCTATATGACATGTCGTGCCCGAACTAAAAAAGGTGGTGTATGATAATTCGTCACCACCAGGATTTGTCGATTGGGTCCCTCATCCCCAATCTCCCTTTAAAAGAGGAGTATATGAGGTATTTTCTTCCTCCTTTCCGCATACCTTCGGTTTGTAACTGGAAGCACACTCGACGCGTATTAAGGAAGTTCGGATTTCGAATTCCGTCGTCGGCACTGCACATTTTTCGCGTCCCTAGCATTATTAAAAAAAAAAAAAAAGGTTCTAATGCCTCTACAAAACATTTTACAGATTATTCAGTAATCTGAAAAGAAAAAAGAACAAAAAAAAGTGTTTTTGTTTAGAAATCAGTGAATTGAATCCTGTCATACTGTGGAACATTTCTGAATTACTTATTAAATTATTATTTTCTTTGCTAACTGAAAACTTTTAAAACATTTTGTTGTACTGAGCTTGCAGAATATTCATCGAATCAGTACTGAATTACTTTAAATTAGCTTGCAATTCATTAAATGCTTATATGACTTAAGATTTATAATCTGGGACATGCGTTCGAAAAGATGTTTACGAACTTCATTTCAAAATATTAACGTCGGAAATATATATATAATAAATAATATTGACGTTATTGATATTGACGCCGGAAATGTAATTCTGGTCATGGAATTTCTTAAAATAAATAACTTAAGAAAACAATAATAACTTCAGTACGATGTGTGAGAGGACTGTATAATAATAATGTTAAAATATTTCCCATTCTCTCCGTAGGACAAAAAGTCAAATCTATAAAATATTCATCATTTTAAAAGAGAAATGTTTAATACTTCTGCATTCGGTAACAAATTCGATATTCGGTAACAAATTTATTGATTTACACCAATTTTCAGTGTCTTTTATCTGCAAAATTCAAAATGGTTCGATGGAATTAACATATGCGAAACAAAAGTTGCTCATTTTAGTGAGTAATGATTTCGTATTAGTTAAACAGTACTAGCTATTAAAGTTTTAACTGACGCCATGAAAATGCTAATTATGCATATCTCTGCGAGTTTTATATGTCTTACAGAATGTTTTACATTGATTCAGAACCTTATTAAGACACTGATTGAGAATCATATGAAAGACAGAAAAATACTCCACTGATTAGAATTTTTCCTTAAGGAATATATAAAATATTTAAATTTAAATATTTTAATTTTTTAGTGGATCTCGGTATATTTAACTTCATGTTTCTCGGTATATTTTCCCCCTCGTTATATTTTTTTAAAGGTAAGTTCGAGTGTTTAACTGCAGAGTCTAGAGAATACTCCTTTATTCACTCAAAGAAATAATAACAGATGGTACTTTCTCAGAATCACAGGAAAGCCTCTACTCGGGCTTTTAAATCAGAATAAGAAAATAAGAAACCAATCTATACTAAACTAAACAGACTTAGTCTAAGCTAGACAAAAATACCTAAAGTAGTTGGCCCCTTAATTTAACTTAGCCGGCGACTATCGAAGGCACGTACAATACGGCCGAGTGCAACTCATTCTGGTAGAGTTAGTCGATGGGGAACGAGAAAAGATACAGAACATATTTAAACTTAAAATAACTGTTAGATACTTAAAGTAATCTCTACAAATTTTTAATACTTTTATAATATTCTAAACTTTATTTTTAGAAATATTGTAGCTGAAACTACATATTTAGAATTAACAAGTATTAAAACTTGTAGCCGCCAGTTTCAAAAACATTTTAGAATGTATTATGAATTAAGTTTTTTATTTAATGTGTATGTTTAACATTATAATATTGATTCGAATTTTAGTAATCACAGGTAAAACAAATTCGAAACCAGATCATAGGTAGAAACAAAATTCAACGATGTTCAATCATAACAGTCTTTTACATGGTAAATGTTTCAAATTTTTATATACATAAAAATGTTATGTCTGTAAATTTACTGCAAAGCCATATTTTAAAGATTTATTCTGAAACATTATTTTCTAAAATTTAAGAAATGATTTTAATAATTTGTTTCCAGCGTTTTAATTTTATTTATTTATTTTTGATTATATAGTACTTATTTTAATTTTCAGATTAACTGCAGACTGACATTCTAGGAAATTGTCAACATTTTTTCTAAAAGTTAAACAATGACTATAATATATTTTCTTCCTCCTTCCAACATGCCTTCATGGTGTAGCGGTAGCACATTCGGTGCATATTCAAGAGTTCCTGATTCAAGTCCCGGCGAAAGGGTGTCCGCCGATAACATCGCGGCAAAAACATCGCGGACGAGAACGTCGCAGAGAAAACAACGCAATGCGAAAACGTCATGTTACAAAACATCGTGGGAGAAAACATCGCAAAGAGAAAACATCGCAGTTCGAAAACATTGTGGTACAAAACATCGTCGTCGAAAATAAAGCGGTTCAAAATCTTCGCAGTTTAAAAACATCGTCGTCGAAAATATCGTGGTAAAAAATAAAGTATCTACAAATCATCGCGTGACGATAACATGCGTTTTTCAGACTTTAATAACTGTAAATAGATATTCCCATAATAATTTGTGAGCTTAAGATGGAAAGAAGGATAATTTGTTTTTCATATTTTATATTAACTAATAAATTTTTGCTGAGAAAATAAGAAGGAAACTTAAGCATAGAAAATTAATGCAACTTATAGTACTTAATAGAATTTTAAACCAACATAGTTAACTAACAAAGACCATTAATAAATCATTTTTTATAAAGTTTTTACTGGTAATTTTTGATATAAAAGTATAATCTATAAGTTGCATTTAATTTTCTATGCTTAAGTTTCCTTCTTTCTTTTTCAGCAAAAATTTATTAGTTATAAAAAAATGTGGAAAGTAAAAATTATCCGTCTTTACATCTTGCGCTCACAAATCATTATGGGAATATCCTATTTACAGTATTAAAGCCTGAAAAAAGCATGTCTGCGATGTTATCGTCATGCGATGATTTGTAGATACTTTATTTTTTACCACGATATTTTCGACGACGATGTTTTCAAACTGCGAAGTTTTTGAACCGCTTTATTTTCGACCACGTTGTTTTGTACCACGATGTTTTAGAACTGCGATATTTTCTCTTTGCGATGTTTGTAGCACGACGTTTTCACCTTGCGTTGTTTTCTCTGCGATGTTTTTGTCCGCGATGTTTTTGCCGCGATGTTTTCGGCTGTAACCGGAGAAAGCATGCAGGTTTCTTAAGTTCAATATATATCTACATCTCTCTCTCTCTATATATATAATTCTAAATGCGTCTACAACTGACGCCCAAACTAAACAAGGTGGTGGACAATAATTCGTCACCACTAGGATTTGCTATTACCTCTAATCCTTAATCACCCTTTAAAAGGAGAAGTTTATAAAGTATTTTCTGTCTGCTTCCAGCATGCTTTCGTGGTGTAATGGTATCACACTCAGCGCGTATTCGAAAGGCCCAGGTTTGAAAGCATTACTCATTTTTCATGTTTTCTGCTTCAAAAAACCTAATGACTCAACACAGCTACTGAAAAATAAATGCTAAAAATATATTTCATTTTTACTCTAAATTTTTAACTAAGTTAGATGCATCATTCTTTTACATCAAGTTGAAATATTTTTACTTTAAATTAGTTTACATATTTTGCTTGAAAGTGAACTCAACTAAACAAATTTGAAAACTTTCAGCTTTAATTTTTAGAATTCCGAGTTCAGAAGTTTTGTAAGTTTTCTTGCTGGACTACTTTCATTTTATCTACAAATAATTATAATACAATATTTTGATTAAATATTATTTATTCTATTATAAATTTGTAAATATATATATGTTTTTATATAAATTATTATATATAAATATTGCTATTAATGTTATATTATATATATATATAAATATATAAAATGTATGTATAAATATTATTAATATTTCGTATAGTATTATTCGTATAAATATTATTAAAATACCTAGTTTTATATTTTGTTTTAATACACAGATAATTATAATGCAAAATACAATATTTTGTACAATATATTTTATGCATATTCATCGAAAAGAAGATCGGTCATTTAAAATTCTCAAATACCACACGGAAGCTTTTACGGAAGTTGCCAATTCACATGTAAACAAATTTTACCACCACATTTCTAAAGATTGAACAAGAGCAGTAACTCATTTCAATACTGTTATTCATTAAAATTCCAGAACAAAGAGGACGAGCTTTCCAGTTTTCCAACTGTTATCAGTTTGGGTTATTCTTTCTGCCGGTGAGAGCCCTCACTAGTAGACCTCAAGAGATAATTAGTAGAAAAGATTACTCATGTTAACACTCACCTTCATTTTACTCTTCATCTCACCCTCCGAGTCAGAACACTGCCTCTAGAAACAACATGAATCTCCCATAACTATATGTTGTTCACTTTTATGCAACTAGTGTCGGAATCTCGTTGTTCGGCTAGCGGCATGCGCTGCTCGCCACGCCTCGTTCAGAATGCGGAGCAACTCGTTGAGAATCTCGGCTGCTGCGACCCTGCACAAAAGATGTCCCGACACGGTATCATAGCATCCAGATCAAAACCTTCTTGAAGGGCGGAGCGCTGCCCGCGAAAGATTCCGGAGAAGAAATACATATTCATGAAACGATCCTCCAGGACCCTTGCATGAAGATGACTTCATCAATGCGAGAACCATGGAATGTAAACTGTTTCCGCCTTAGCAAGACTCGGACAATTGAAATGATGATGACATGGGAATCACGAAATAAAGCGAAAAATTTCAATCTGTAAAAGAGAGAAAAGGAGCAAAAAAAAAAAAAAAAAAAAAAAAAATATTTGTGCACGTTTATAGAATTAATAAAGGCATTTGCTATTAATCTAATGCTAATTCTATATCCTGTGTATAAAATAATCTTTTTTTAGTCCAAAGGGATTGAATCCCGAAGGACTATTAGTTTCGTTTTGTTGTATTTTGGTCGGCGGAAATGTCGGTTCATTTTTCAAACTGTTGCCATAAAATCTTAGAGTCCTGCATTATATTTGAAGAAATGAAATAAGGAAAAATCTGCATAAATGTATGTATGTTTCTCCCATTGTAATAAAACAACGGTACATAGAGGTCATCGAATTTTGAATGGCGTAATCTCCAATTGCGAATATGAGACATGTGGAAGACTCGTAATTGAAATTTGGAATGTGTCTTATTATCGATTTCATATTTTGGCAAAACTTTGACTGAATTTTTGATTAACAAACTCAAGGATTTCAAAGCGAGCGATATGGCAATTGTTATACAGAAAATACATTTTATCTCCAGCGACCCGAGACTCTGTCTCTGAAATTCTAAAGGATATGCTCAATTTAAAAACTACGAGTATTTTGCGATATTGCTGTTGCACTGGATCTTATGGTTTTAAGTGCGAGGAACATGATATTTAATAAAGAAAAGTAACACACAAAATGTAAAAAACGTCCTTTGGACGTAATTTAAAATCTAAAACATTTCAGATTTTTTTTTTTTTTTGCTACTTTCTTTCAAGTAAGATTCATATAAATAAATAAGTAAATAACAGACGTAAATCTTTTATTAATTATTTACTTCAGGTCTTGTTTTCATGTAAATGTAGGAAAATAAGTTTAGTTATATTTACATAAACAATTTTCAGACTATGTTTCTAAATTTTCATAAAAATATATTGAAATTTGTTTTCGCTTCACATCTATTTCTTTCCCCTTAAAATAAAAAGTATGTATTATACATGGCGAATTTGCGAGAAACGTTGTAATTGCACATGATATAATAATTGATAAATCGCACATAATTCACTAGGAACAATATCAAATAAAAATCATTGAAGTAAATAATGTTTATATTCCTGAGATATTTTATTTAAATACTGAAATTAATAATAAGTAAAACAAGAAAGTGGTGGAAATTATTACCTTAATTAAATTTGTAAAAATACCCTATTAAAAAAGATATCTAAATCATTTCTACTAACAGCGTTTTATATACTAATTTGAATTTCGAATTTTCGCGTGAAAACATTCATTTGAGTAGTAACATCGCATACTTATTTTAATTAGAATAGAAATTAGAAGTAAACAGCAATAAAATGAGTATTACAAATAAAGACACAAAAATTACACTTGATCTTATACTCTCAAGCTTCAACTAACAAAGCTGAAAATATCATAAAAACGTTTATACAAATAAATACCAACATAAAAAGGCTATTCAAGGAAAAAGGATTACGAAAAGCCGAATAACTCTATATGAACTTTGCCAACTGCAAAACGTAAAAGCACAGAAGTGATATTTATTAAAAAGTCGAAGATCCCGGCTTTCAAGGATCAGACAATGAATCCCAAGATTTAGAAAACGTAGCATGGATATTTAATTAGGTGCACTGAAATTATGAAAAACAGAAGAGGAAACAGAAACATAGTCTCGAATTGAGCAACACAGGCATATGTAGAACGAATCAACAACACACAAGAAACATATCTATACCCTTAAAACTTAAACTTTCTCACAAACAATAAGTATCAGATGCTGTAAAAACGGTAAAGCATCACATATCATACAACAATCCGTAACGGAATCAGATAGTTCAATAACAAGGAATTTTTATATCCAAGAGCTTTTACAGTATGTTTCAACAGTAGCATTGAACCTCAATCCAACACAAAGAAAGACACCCAAAACTCAATTACGGATACCTTAAAGAAAATGGTCTCTCTACAAAACGTAAAAGTAAGTGGTAAAATTAAACGAGGCAGGCTAGTGATGATATGCGAAGAAATGAAGATATAAATAATAGTGAAAATGCAATAAAAGAAAACGAAAAACCAAACAACTAATAGACTTGAGAAGACCCCAAAAAATGATCTTTAAAGATAATAATTGATTCAATTCTGGAAGCTCTTTCACAAAATGAAATCTTAAAAATAGTAACACGATGTTTTGAATGTGATGAAAGCGATTCTAAATCTATGTTCAAAGTAAAAGATAGAGAAAAGGGATGAGTCAGGTGAGTCCCTGAGTGTTCTCCATCAGCGTTTCGAAAAAAATAAATGCATCATATTAAGATGGCAAACCAAGAACATCAGAGAATATTTAGGTCTAAATAGATGTTTTAATACCAAAAGTTTGGCTATTCTCAAGACATGCACTCTCAACCCATATTGAAAGTCTCGTCGCAACAATGTAACAATTTCAACAGTAGTAAAGACATCGACGCCTTGCATGAAGATCTTATGCAAATACTGCTCTCAGTGTGCGAAAAGGTCTTGAAAAGGAAACATTACGCAGCCCCGAAATGCACTCCTTGGTGGAGCACCACGCTGACTACTGAACGCAGGAAAGTCCGTGTCCTAAGGCGCAGAATGCAAGCATGCAAGGATCCCTTAGAAAGAGAGGCACACTCGCTAAGTTTTCGAAAGCACAGAGCTGCTTACAAAAGACAGATTGCAAAAGCAAAGTTTTCATCCTGCAAAGAGTACTGTACCAACACTGCGAATAAGTTTGGAACTGTCTTCCGTATTGCACATGATAAGATGTTTACACCTACTAATCTTACTGCCACAATAAGCCACGGAGCAGCAACTAGTACAGAAGTAGTCGCGCACATTCTGGACAATATCTTTAGACCTGATAACGCAGACACAGATAATCCCGCACAAAGAAATATCAGAGCCAGTGTTGAGCCAATATTACAATACCAAGAAAACAGATTTTGAACCGCTGCCAAACGCCAAAGAAATGAGCGACATTGTTAAAGCGTTAAACACCAATAAAGCCCCATGTCCTGATGGGATAGATAATGGCATTCTGCAAACCATTAACAGTACGCATCCGGAGTTACTGTATGCCTACATTACTGCGTGTTAGCGCAATAGATATTTCCCAACCGGCACGAAACTTGGTGAGGTGGTGCTCTTTCTCAAAGCGAAAAAAGGCCCTAATGTACCAACGTCTTATCGGCCTATTTGCCTTCTTCCTGCCTTGGGTAAAGTACTAGAGAGAGTCGTCCTTCAAAGACTTAAACACTATATCCTGTCTGGACAAAGCATAAATGACAAACAATAGGGCTTCATTCCTGGCAGATCGGTGGATCACGCGCTGCAGCACCTACGAAAAATAATAGTAAATAACAGAAGAAATAACCAACATAATCTCATTATCTCTGTGGACATACAGGGCGCTTTCGACTCGTTGTGGTGGCCCGATGTACTGAAGAGATTACAGGACATGGGTTGCCCTAAGATTCTCTTTGATCTTATTTACAGCTACCTAAGTGATCGCCGCTTACAAGCCACTACGGACGCAGGAGTGCACTTACGTTCCATCAATAGAGGTTGTCCTCAAGGATCCTGTCTGGGTCCACTGCTCTGGAATCTTGTAGCCGACACAGCGCTGACTCTTTTTAACACAGATCCTCACACGGAAATACTGGCTTATGCCGATGACTTTTTGCTGGTAACCAAAGGGCACAGCCGCAACGCATATGAGACTAGAGCGCAACAAGCAATAAACAAGATGGCCAAATGGGCCAATGACCATAAGTTAATTATTGCCATATCAAAAACCCAGGTATGTTATTGCCCAGGTAAGCGCCATCGAAGCACCCGTGCATCAACCTCATGGGAAAAATATTAAAATAGTCGGAAAAACTTGAGGTACTTGGAGTTATAATTGACGATACACTCACTGGATGCCACATTTAAGGTGGTCAAGGCACGCTTCGCAGGATATTTCATTCCATGCTCAGAACAGCAGCACCAACATGGGGGAGTTCTCGAGGATGCTTAAGACGTGGTACTCTGTAGTTGTGAACGTATTGCACTGTATGGGGCCTCCATGTGGGGCATAACGATCACTACTAAAATGGAGAATCTGCTACGCTTAGCACAAAGACCATTCCTCCTAAGCATTACCCGAGGATTTTAAAACGTCGCCACTAATGCTCTAAACGTGATTCAGGACTACCGCCTCTGCATCTCTTAGCTCAGCGCGAGAGTGCAATAGTGCGAGTGCTCCGACTCAAAGAGACATAAGTTTATGGGAAGGACTTATGTTTATACTGACTATGAGCAAAGCATTCCCGAGCCACCTTGCCACCCGCCCGAATTCAACATCTCGATTAACTGCAGGTCACCAACGTGGTTCAACGCTGCAATCTATACCGATGGTTCCAAAGGAGAATATGGCACCGGTAGCAGATACTATGTTCTACATGGGAACCAGATCTCAAAGATCTGGGAAAGAAAGCTTAAGCACCACAACTCAGTTTTTCAGACTGAACTGATTGCGTTAAAAGCTGCACTTGTCTACGCACTGGAAAATAACTACTCCAGTATATATTCAGACTCAGCCTCTAGCCTTCAGGCCCAAAGGCAATGTAGTAAAAATCCACTAGTCAGGGCAATACAAAAACTCTTACTAAGAAGACCTAAATA